ACACTTCAGCTATTGTAATATTTTATAATTTAATGTATTCAAGTATGACACCAATTAAACGCATTTGTCATTCGTTCAGTTCATTCGCTGTGTTAACAATGGTTTCAATGTTTAGTGCACACAAATCGAAAGCGACCATTCTGTGTGTTTGTATTATTAATTTACTTTATGGATTTTCAAAAACAATCAAGTAAATATGGTCATTGAATTAAAAAAAAATCGAGGCTCTGTAACTTTAAGAGCTTGTCATGTTCAGGTTAAAAAAAAATGCTACAAACTAAAAACGGGAAGGTAGATCTATTTAGAAAGAGCTTGTCGAGAAGAAACCAAATATAAAAAAGATAAAATGTAATTATTTAAGTTTTTTACAATTAAATAAAATTGTCAATTTGATTTATTTTTTTTTCCACTCGCAGATTTCCGAAACCGATGAACGGATTTTGTTGTATAAGGTATTATACTCTTATTAAAATCATCTTAGCATGTAGAATACAAGTAAAGAATTTCAGAACTTTATCCGATATAGTTTATTCAATTTATTAAGTTGTAAATAAATAAAAAGTTACAGCACTTTAACTAATTTTTTCAAAAATAATTCTTCAAAAATTAAAAATCAAGATAGTAGATATGCTGACCTCGACTTGGCAAGCATGTTTTTATTTCCGACGTATTTTCAACATTTTCGCACTTAAAATAGTATGTTAGCAAAAAAAGTTGACAGTTTAAATAATAACTAACTTGGATACGCTGTTATTGGACTGGATAAAATAAATTTCGTGTCACCATTTTCGCGTTACACTATCACTTTCAGTTAGAGATAAGTGATATGTGATTAGAGTGATAAGAGTTTGGTGATAAGAGATAATTAATAAGAGATTAGAGATAAGTGATAAGAAATTAAAGATGAAGTATAATTGATAAGATATAAGTGATAAGGTTTCTTTTATCTTCAGATGGGACAAATCACATTAGTTGTTATTTCCGTTTTTTCAGAACGCAACGGTTTTGCCTAACGTTATTTTCGATTATTTATTTATAGATAATAATAACAAATCGAATCAATGTACGGTTATTATAAATAATATTATGTTTTTAATAATAATTTCGGTAAAACATTAGTTTTACCGGCCGTTTCGATCGGCCGAGTATTGCTCGACACGCATTTTCGAATTGTGTGCAAAATTATTAAACGCTGTGGTGGTATATCTTCTTGGCCAAACAAAATCACCATCAATCATCTGAGTTCTATTTTAATCTTTGCTTATCTCGACACGCGCACTCGTGCCTATAATACCGTGACCGAATAAATCGGTCCACGGCTTAGGTAACATTGCCAGAAACCCTTTTCGTTCTGTCGATTCAAATCATAATTTTATTACCACCCAACGAACCCGTTAAATGACTTCGGACATTATTGTGTTAATTATTTAGAGAGAAAAAACCAGCACAGTCCCAGTCAAATTCAGTTCCAGCCGAGCACAGTGAGAAGTTAGCAAAGTTAGAGCAACCATATTAAATCTAAATCGGTGCTGTTTTTGCGGTTAAAAAATACAAAACACTAAAAAAATGGTTTCCCTCTGAAAATTATGACAAGTCAAAGTTGTGAGTTGAAAAAACGGTATGGTTCTTTTTCTTTTACCCGACTTTTAGGATAAAGGAATTAATTTTTTTCAACGTTTACCTCTCCCCCTGGCCATTTACCCCAAAGTACCCACTAGATTAAATTTCTATCTATATAGAGTCATGCCGATGAGGGTCCAGCATTAAAAAGGGATAGTGGGTATTGACACAAAAAAAGAAAATGCATACACCATTGTATACAATCAATAGCTTCCCGACTAAACAACAAAGGTAAAACAATTTCATTCCAAATCGAATTCAAACAATATAATTGATTACGTGCTTGAAGTGGATAGCTGAATTCTAAGAACCTCATCCAATTTTCCTTTTTTTGTTGAATACATAATATTCAAAAACTGATTTTATAATTTTTCAATTTGATCATTTTTTTTTAAAAATATTATTTCAAATATTGTATAATTTAATGATAATATAATGTCTGTTGCGTCGCACTATATACCGTGTCGAGAACGAGATGGCCCTTAATTTTTCCTGACTTTGTTAGTAGATTGAAAAGTAAAAAAAAAGCTATTTTTGAAAAGTAGGCAAGTGGACATAATTAAAACTGCAAAACAAAAAAAAAAGTAGCTATTGCGTTTGCAACTATTATTTTTTAATATCTAATCGAATATTTTTGTATATAATTACATTATTTATGGCTATGTTATATTATTTATGATAATGATAAACCACTGCACGGCTCTAGGGAGTGGCCGGGAAAAAAAACAATAATTTACGGACTAGATTTAATTTAAATTTATGGACTTACATGTACAGAAGCTCAGAGCTCAACACCATTATGCGCTTCTCCGTTAATGTATCTTAACCACACACTATTGACCTATTAAAAGACACCCGCCAGACAGGTGAAAGTTCAACTTCTATATCAATAAAAGTTGTATTACTAATAATTAAAAACATATTATTCTACACGAAATAGTTAAAGGCTTAAAAAAAATTGTGAACAGTTGGGCTTAGAAACCCTAAAGGTCTCTTACAGTAGGGTGTTGCTGAAGTGTTGTGGTCAATTCTTTTGAAATTTTATAAGATAAGTGTGAAGAGTAAATAGGCGAGACACTTTTGTTTGTAAGAAATAGTTTGTTGAAACGGATCGGTTGTCAATGACGGAAAGAATTTGTCAAAGTCAGCATTAAAAGTCCTTTCTCGTTTTCTCTGATAACAAATGCAACTCGGTAGAAGAACAGCTTTTTGGTAAAAAAGTTTCAGTTAACATTTTGGTTTTTGAAAATAATTTTCAACTCTGCGATTGATTGCAATAACAATAATGGTTTGGAAAGAGGGCGTTGTATGAATTAAAAAACATTTATGAGCTTTTTTTTTCGTGGGTTAAAATAATAACTATTTGCGTGCGGAAAAAGGTATAATAATATGTGTTCAAACCGTTGTGCATGCGAATTTTAACCTATTTAACGGAGTCCAACCGATTACTTTGTTTTTAATGGCTCTTCTGACTTGGAAAAAACCAACAAAATAATGGGAAATGCCTTTCGTGGGAAATAAAATGCCACTAATAAAATCGGTAAACAAGATAACATCACAGATTAGATAAACCCAGTCAGAGCACTCTAATGTAATGTAAACAAACTTTTATAAACTCAGATCGGTGTGACCAAACAATGAAAAAAAAATCCTTTTGTTATATAATAGGGACAAAGATATGTTATCAAACATCTGTAATGTTATCACCATCGACCATCGTTGATAAACTACTTGTTATCAGCGTTTCTTATCAGTTTGCTTTATTATTGTAATAGTGTGTACAATATTTTCGGCGTTACAATTCGGTCCTACTGCGTTAAAGAGTAAACCAATCGAAAATTTTTTTTTTTTTAATTCTATTGTCTTACAATGAAGTGCACCGTCTGGGTTTATCAAGTCTGCGATAACACTAGGCGAATCGCACTACTTACAAAGGCTCGCTTAAATACTTACTAGTTTTTAAAGTATAAGCAGACCATGTAATGTATAAAAGTTAGCCATTCGATTGGCGTTTTGCATAGGACCGTCAATTTTTTGGTTTTCATTCGGCATTGAAATAGGTATATAACAGGAATTTTCGAAGTCTCCTTTGTCAAACATTTCGGTCACAAGCGTTTGTTGTACGCAAACAAGTATTTACTTTGCACTCCGACCGATTATTATATTCATCGACGTTGTAAGTATTTGTTTACCTTTTCGGAGTATGCCGTTCGAGTTCACTTGTCCTATTGTAATAGCAATAATAATTGTAAACAAACTAAAACATTCAGCACACAGTGCTCGTTGGTCCTAACGCGGACCCGGAGCGATTGTGAACAATAATAATAATTCAAATAGAAACCATTCAACACCGGTGTGTTATGCTTGTTGTAGTTGTAGGTGGCACTGATAACGAAAACGGTATTAATAATTATTAGTATCAAGTATGAATATGTAGTAATTGTAGCTGTTGGTATGTCTGGAAAACGCTGTGCAAAGAAGAAAAACTCTAAAACATAAATTCAACGGCGTTTGTGTGAAACGAAAAGGAATTTATTACCATAAAAGAATATTTTTTATCTGATGTTAAAAAGGAATTTCACGCCTACGTTTACCCATCCACCTACTTACCTCTTTCTTTAGTGTAAAACAATCTGCATTTATAAAAGGAAATTATTTCTGCGAAATTCAATTTTTTTATTTTTATTAATCCGAATTGATGGTTTTTTTTTAATGTATTATTAAAATATGTATAAAGTGACATTGAACGATCGATGCAATTTTTACTGGCAATAAATCAAAATATATACTACATTTTAATATAATTGTAAAGTTCAATTAAGATTTTTTTTTGATGATGCGATTTTTCTTGTTTACTCGTCATAAGTGCTGTTAAATTGCCTACTCGAAACGCCGTCATAAAAAATTACTTGTATCTTTACTGAAGTACATTTGTGCAAGTCACATCATATTCTAATCGTTTGTGTGGTTCGAGTCACCAAATGTAAAGGGTATGATTTATGATTTTTCATAAAAATATGTTGTTTAAAATCAAATTCCGGTTATTGTTTTTCAGGCCAAACGTATGAAACACATAAAAAGCTTACACTTGTGACAGTACAATTTTATTCATAATATTTTTTTTTATAAATATGGACGTTTTTCAACTGCATAAGTTTAGGAACTTTGGTTATGTTTTATACATTTTAAATAACCCAGAACTCTCTCTTTGTATCTCAACTTATGTTTCCAAAGCAGATATTTTCATAATCGACAAACGGGTGATGTATTTTTGAATGACATATTTTGTGATGGCGTTAATCGTTGCAGAGATGTTATTTTCAAAAGCACTATAAAAATTGAATGGTATTGAGTTAATGATATATTTTTTTTTTTTACAGTGCAATGCTGCTGTAGGTCTAAAAGCTTTTTTCGATATGATGCACGAAGGACCGCACAAAGTAATGTTATTTGGAGCAGCGTGTACTCAAGTGACAGATCCAATAGCCAAAGCGTCCAAACATTGGAGAATAACACAGGTAAACAATTTTTATTTTTATTTCTATTTGCTTTGCCCGGTTTTCAATCAACTATTTTATTATTTTTTTTTCCCCACTCGCCCGGTGCATGTATTTTTTATGATACTTGAACAGCTACACACGAATCGACGAGCAGTGCTTGATTAGATTTGTGTCGAAAACGTTTTCCAATAATATTGTCAATGGGCGATGACCGTGAAATGTCAATAATACAACTGTGGTCGCTATTATGATTATTATAGAAAATTAAAAAAAACACCACAAAGTGTTTGTCGTTTCATCTCTAACAATAGCCTAATACAAGTGTAGTGTACTTAATACTCTGGTAATCTAAACGCTTCAATGTAACTACACAGAAATGGTTTCATATAATATTAAACTCAACGCCGTTTGTGCTTCGCTGAAATATTTAACACCAAAACTGATTATAGCCAATACACCGACGTTCGCACGTATAACAATACATGTTTAATAAGGCCGCACCGTTGTAAATTTAATTCAATTTCCATTTTAGGATTTATTTAAGACGGTTCCGACACTATGATCGATGGATCGTGCCGGTAAAAATCGTTAAGAATGTATGAATATCCTCGAAGTGGGTATTTTCGTTGTAATTCAATTCCACGATACTCGTTTAACTTAAGACTGGTCGTCACTGCTGTCACAAACATTATGTACTCAAACAGATCTTAGACTTGTGTATCAATCATAATTCATATCTCTCATCAGATTGTGGCCCCGTATCAATCATTGATCGTCTTCTTCTTCTTCCTTAGCTAAATATAGGCCGTTTAGATCTTTTCCCGCAACCGCCACTATGCACTGTCCATCCCTATCCGTCGCCGTTTCTTCACTACTATTTCCAGCACGTTAAGGTTCTTGTACACTCGAGACTACCATCTCTAATTGGGCACAAGACTATCTTCAAGGTTTTTTTAAAAAATATTTTTTTCGAGACCCATGCATGTAATGCAATAACATCAATCACTACATAATACAGTGTTAGTTCTCCTCCGCTATCACCTTAGCTGATATGAACACTGTTGTCAAAGTTAAAAAGCATAATATTTCTAAAGCCACATATTTTATTCGACGAATTCGTCTTAGCCACCTTTCTATTATCTCTGGACGCGTTTGATAAAATATGATCATTTTCACGACTTTGTGATTTAATAGGAAAAAATGCCAGATAAGGAAAGTAATAAATCAAAGTCGGACACATTTTTCAATTAATTTACAATCATTGCGTTGTTAAACTCAGATAAACTCTTAAATGAAAATATGTTTTTTTTTTTTTTTTAAATAAATATTTCACGGCCTACGAAGGGTGGATATTTTTTTAGTGCCGTCTAGAGAATACTTTCGATAAAGATAACAAATGTGGGTTGCATAAAACGGTAGCAGCTAAATCGCATATAAATTACCTGCCAACGAATTCGCGCCTAACCTTATCGACGCTTCCAATTTGATTAATAGTTTTTTTTTAAGGCGTGTTATTGTTGTGTTTGTTTTTTATTTTATTTTACTGCTAGTCTTACACGAGGGCAAAACTAGGACATGACAACGCGACAACCGTTTCTTAGTAGTCATTATTCAAAAACTACCAAAACCGGTGTGTGCATGTATTCTGAATACTAAACAGCATAAGTCAGCATTGAGTATTTTTATAACTCCAACTAAACCAACGTTTTTTCATGAATTGTTATTATTTTTACAGAATTCAATATTGTGTTATTGTTGTTTGATAAGTAATAGATTTTTATCTTTTTGTTTTCCAATCGAAATGTATTTTTAACAGCGTTTCGATCACTGTTAGTGCTCCCTTTTTTTTATTTTAGTATTTGATTTTGATTGCATATTTTAATTGAGGACTTGAAGTCCTGTTTGTCCCATCGTGGAAAAGTATAAATTAAATGTCGACATTAACTCTACCTTGTTTATAAGTATTAATTTAAAACTGCTTGGATATTTTCAATTCTAAACGATCTCAAATTGTTCTACGAAACAACAAATTATTGTTTTTTTAAAAATGTGCACGCCATTACTAAAAAAAAAAAAAAAATATATATATATATAAGGAACTTTTTGTTAGAAACGTTTGTCGAGTGAACTTTGTATAATATGTACTTTCACTAAAGTTTTAATTAAAAATATGCATTGTATGCATTTCATTTAAACATATTATATTTAAATAGGTAGGTATAAACCGTCAAGTTCAACTTCATGACTGTACAAACGTTCATAAAGTTTACCCGGTATTGTTCAAGCAATTCATTTTACAGTACATTTTTTTTTTTTGTTAGTAATTATACTTAGAATTTTGTATTTTTAAATTAAAACAAATATTTTCAAGATTAAACCATCGCGCACTCGACTATTTACGCGAAATCTCGCAGCCTTTGTGAGAAGCTGTCAAGCGTTGGCCTATTAAAACGTAACATACCCTTTGAAATAAGGCTAGAAAAATAATTAAAATTTCAATATAACCTTGAGCACGTTTTGGCCGGATAAAACCACTAGTGACATAATAAATCCCTCCGAAACACTCACCTACCGGCTTTACTTTTATTTCTTCAATAATGATATTAAAGTATAATGAGTTATACGAAACGCTATAATGATTTACAAAATTTTACAAAATACAAAAAAAAAAGCACCGAAAGGATAGTCTTACTGAAGGAGAATTGTAAAATAATGAGGTGTGTTAACAAAATTAATGAGAGTATATATATGTATTATATATTTATTTATATATAAGCGTGTAAAGGATTTCTGGTTACGATCAGTTTTCAAACAAGAAAATACCATTACGTGCCAGAAAGATGAGACTGATTTATCCAAAAAATTGGAAGAAGAATTTGTCAAATTTATGAACACATTTTACCATTAGTTATTACTTATTATATAACACTGTTTTCTTTTTAGTTTACGAGCAAATGGTCTATGGCACATGTGGCCGAGAGCAGCATTAAAATAGTACTTAAAAAATAATAAAAAGTAAAAACATGATTAAAAACAAGTGCGTGTAAAGTAGTTTTAGTTATTCAATATAATAGGTACCCATCCATCACATTTTTTTATCTACCGCCCTATTTCGGCTAAACAGCTTAACTTGTTTTACAATAAGTAATCGAGTATTCAAGTATAAGTATTCCAGTTAAAATTGTCGTTTCAAACGGCCGCTTAAAGTAGTATTTTTTTTTTAAATCGAATACACTATGTGTTTACCTATTAAGCGTAGAACAATAAAATAATACACGTAATGACTAATCCGTATCGGGTTGGATTGATAAAATATGTTTTATTATAATAGACAATTTTTTTGAGATTTTGAACAACTATTACTTTATAGAAAAAAATGACCGTCATTAAAATGTAGATCACTTTAAATTCTACCCTAATTCGGTTTGTTCGAATAGCCATTTTAAACCGCTAATAATATTATTCCAATACAAATGAAGGGTCCAGGGTTACAACCACATTATAGCACATAACTTGAGAAACAAACCTGCAAGTATCCAAACATGTATATGTATAAAAGGTTAATACCACAATACTATACAGGCTACGGTCAAGGAGGAGGTCGCAGGTTTAAAGTTAAGTCTAGTTTAAATTAAAGAATAAGTTAAAAAATCAAAAAAATCTCTTATCAATTATCTATTGTCTCTAATCTTTTATCTCTTAGCTATAATCGCTTAATATAAACAAATAATAATAAATAAAATCTCTTATTTCTTAACTCTTATCTGTAATATTTTAATATCTTAGTCTCTTATCTCCTTATCGCTTATATCTTATCTCTAATCGCTTAATCTCTTAATCGCTTATATCTTATCTCTAATATATTAACATATTTATCTCTTATCTCTTAATCACTTATATTTTATGTCTAATCGCTTAATCTCCTATCTTCAATCTCTTATATATTATATCTATCTGAAAGTGAAATTTTAACGCGAAAATGGAGACATGACCAACGTGTCATGAAATTTATTGTATCTAGCCCAATAACAATCAATTCGGACAAATTGGATTTATATGACAGCTGTTGTAGTACAATTTTTTTATTTATAAGAGAGTAGGTCAATAATGTTTTAAAAAACAAAAAACGATAGGAAAATTTCTGTAACGTGATTTTATCCTTCGAATATTATTATATGAATAATGTTGTAAGCAATTTATTAGGATACATACAAGAGTTGCTGGTATAATTTTGTTAGTTTTTTCGAGCAAAAAATCCATTCGAATAAAATACTGACATACTCTGTTGGTGCCTCTAAAAATTATCAACTATGCTTTGTGTAACGAGAGAACGGTATTGCGCGGAAACCAAAACGCTACACTTCTGTCTGCGCAGGCGCATACGAGAGTGATGCGTTTCGGCTTCTGCGCAGTACCGTTCTCTCGTGAGACGGAGCGTAGCGGTTTATTATCGAAACTAGTTAATCTGAATTTTAATTTGTAACCGAATTATTTGTTTTCACAGCTGTCCTACGCGGACACCCATCCAATGTTCACCAACACGGATTTTCCAAATTTTTTTCGCGTGGTCCCAAGCGAAAACGCTTTCAACGCTCCTCGGCTGGCACTGCTCAGGCACTTCAACTGGACAAGGGTGGGCACCATCTACCAGAACGAGCCCAGATACGCTTTGGTAAGTACTATTGACCGTTTTTTTTAAATTTTTTTGTTAAACCCACCACTACAAAAGCCGTGTAAACTCTTACCGCCCAAGTGCGTCCAAGTCCTTAAACAAGTCCGTTCAAATTTCCAAAGCAGTTGCACTGCTGTTGTTTCGAAGTAAGTATTGTGTCCAGTAAACCGGAAGTTAGGTCAGTGTGTTTCCCTAGTACGTGACCGTTATTTATTATTGCATATTTCCATGACCTAAGTTCAAGTCGTTAATATTCTCTCGGCACACGGTTTGGTTTGCGGACCAATAGGTCCTCGACCTAACGATTTATTTGTAAAGCATAATATTATAAGTATTACAAGTACAAGGTAGGTTTTCGATAGTCTGAACACAAAATAAAGGCAGTTTTTTTCAGTTAGTCTGAGTGGCAATCATAATCTTTTGTACAAAGCTTGGCCACTCGAACACAAACAACCTGCAAGTTCAATGGCAATAGCCGGGCTGTGCTTGGCTTTCCACAAGAAAAGTGCTTTCTGTTACATGTGATTTTAGACAAAGTGGCCAATATTGGCGGGTCAAGAGGTAAAAAAAGCTTATGAGTAAAATGCCATAAAGGAATACCGCATGACGGTGAATGCAATTTAAGCCCCAATAGTGCACTTGCGATTTTCAATTGTATTTTAATAACGGTTGATAAAATTCGTCGAACAAACTGAAAAAAAATATCATACATTTTTATTTGTTAATATTTATTTGTATTTCAATTGCATTCGACAAATAGAAACTTTTAAAAATTACAACACAATATAAAATAAATAGTAACAGTCAAACAAATTGTACGGTTAATAACTTAGTATTACAAGTCTTTAGTCAATAAAAACAAGTTAATAAATAAATAAATTTGTATGAATAAGATATTATGGTTTATGTAATTGTTGAGAAGTCATATTTTATTAATAAAGGCAGTATAAAAAAAAAATGTAAAACGAGATGGTTTGGACGTAACTTGATATTTTGATGAATAAAAACATGTATTTGGTTTGAGTGGAAGTTGGACGACATGTGTAGAGCTGAGAGAAGAAGATAAGAGCCATTAATGATTAGAAGTATGTATTTTGTATGAATTTCCAATTTCGACTTCTAATGAAAAGTGTGTATTAGAGCAAATCGGTCACTGTTTTAAGCCGAACATAAAAAAAAAAGTAACTTGTAATCTGTTTTAGGCTGTGAACATTGCATGACCCACACGAATAAAACCCTCAAACATAGTAATGTCACATGAGTGTATTTCAGATTACATCTGTGGCATTGAATTAATAGCTATTAGAATTGTACATAATTATCAACTAGTCAGTAGGTACTGACCGACCTACCGGGCTGGACAAAATGTAAAAGCAAAATCTAATTTACCTTTTAGTTGATGTATATAATATAAAAACAAAAATACTCCAAAAGTCCTGTGGGTAAAACGACTGTTTGAGAAAACCAAAACGATTTGTCGCTGATGAAACCATTAAAATATTATTTTTTTTTATAATTACATCTTGATGAATCCGTTAAGTCCCAAACCAAAGGAATTTTTTTTTTAATGATGTATTCTTTTCATAAACTAATGATTTATCATCGTGATTGGAATATGATTTTCGCTTTGAGTTTCAAGGCAAAAACTAGGTAGTCTATTAATTTATGAGGGATAGTAAATAAAATACCAGGGATTAGAGAAACAATATTAAAATTTAGTTTACAATATTATTTTATAAAAAAAAAAAACAAAATAACATACTTAAATCCGTTTTATTGAAACTTATTTTTTTATGGTTATGATTTTAAACGCTAATTATTGAAGTCTGGTAAGTTTTAAACAGAATAGAAAGTTCACCGACTGCAACACATTATTTTGGGCAACAAAATAAGTATAAAATAATATATGCATACATTTCATAATGATTAACCAAACCGACTTTATAATATAACCTTGGTACAAAATTATTATTTTTTTTTTTTTTTACTTTTAAAAACTCATTTTAAAATAACAGCTTTAATATAAAGTTTTAATGATGGAAAAAATAACAAGCGCAAAATTTTGTTCATCGTAAGAGGCACGTACTTTTGCAATATTCAACAAAATTACAAGTTTTAAAAAATGAAAAAAAGTAATATATAAAAAAATCCAGGGAAATCGAAATAATTACACTATGTCCAAAAATAATTCCACTTTTTTTTTGGACACGTGATTTTGAATAAATGTGTTTATGTGTTTGTGGGACGCCTTTATTGGGCGACACAATTTAAATAATGGCATTGTGCCGGAAACAAACAGCTGACATGTGGCAGTCCGATAAAAATATTACAATCCTTTTTGATTTATTTCGCATTCATTTCGACCACTTGCGCGTTTTCATGGTCATCATTTTGGTGTCATTTGACTGAGGTGAAAAAATATAACAAGTCACATATAGTAACAAGTCTATCAGGGATTGAAAACGTTTTTTCAATTTATAAAGGATTAATAGTCAGATATGTTTAATGGTATGTAAAAAATAAATTTAACTAAAAACATTTTTACCTTTGGTACGATTAAACGTTTCGGTCAAGGACAATATTTTCTATCGTTTCAAAATTGCATATCATAATGTTAAATTATCGTTAAGATAAATAATATTGTACATAAAAAATCCTAATAAAAAAAAAAAATGTAATTGTTTTTTATTATTTTACAAGCACTAAATCGGATAAGTAATCTAAATATCATACTACACGTCTTGTTCTTACGATTTAAATATCTGGTGGTAATATTATAAAAACTGAAGTAAAGGAAAACGACAAAACACCGAAAAATATAACACAACGAAATTGTTTCATTTTTAACGTTTTACCGTGGCAATATAATAATTAAATAAATACCATTTATGCATATCACAAGCCGTATCACGTTGCCTTCTTAATCTAACCCGCCCACTATCTGTTTTCGAACTTAAATTAATTTATGTCTAGAAAAATTCTAAAACAGACACTGCGGTTTTTTCATGCATTTGTGGTTTTCAAAAGACCTACGGGTCAACGGTTTGATTAAAACGTCAATCAATTTTCTTTTCAAGCACCATACAAGCAATGATGAAATGACATTTTGATTAAGTTTTTGATCAGTCCGTGGAGTCCATAATGCGAAACGATCACACACGAACGTCTAACGGGTCGCTAATAATAATTATAATAAACTACAACTAGTAGCATTTGCACACAAACTAAAATCGTCGTTCGTCTTATGACGTTTTGCCCACAGCTGACAAAAAACAAATGGTAAAACTATCCGTTTTAATGCGATTACTAAATTAAAAAACCAAGTCAACAATTGATTGGCTTAAAACATGAATATTATTTTGATTTAGTAAAAAAAACAGGGCCAAGGCACTGTTTTCAGCGACAGCTCAAAGTAACAACTAATGTCTAATCCCTTATCAATAATTTAGTTTTAAGTACATAAAATCACACAGTTTTCTAAACGTATTAATATAGCATACTAAATTATTTTACTTATTAATAGTCAACTAATTATTTTGTAGGTTGTATAATAATTTTCTAAGGGTCCTACCACTGGATAGCTGATAATTGGACACAAACTAGCTTTTAAAGCCCGTTTAAAAAAAATATATATATATACACATAGTTTTGTTTTGATGAATGTTTAGGGTAAATAGAACCGAAAGTGTGACTTAAACGTTAGTTTTACCTCCAGCCAAATATGAATAATATATAAATTTATTTTTTTTAATTTTAAATTGCGTGATTGATGTGACGTCCGGACGTTTGTCTGGATCAAAATGAATTCATCAGATGAACGGTAAAAAAAGTTTAATATACAAAAGTTTAATGATGAAAAATGCACCTAGAAATGATGATGATGATAATAATAATATGTTGAACGTTAGGTATATACAATTTTGCAATATTAAAACGTCCGACGAATAAAATGTTAATACGGTCGAGTTGGTCGAGTTTTAATTACCTAATATATAACGTTATTTAATGAACTAAGAGCAGGTGGCTAAGTGTGGTGGCCAGACACATAATTCAAAATAATAATAATCACAGTGGATAGGAAAATTAAAACTTTTTTTTCACCCCTCGCGTTGTGTGCATCCGCAAGTGAAAAGTTTCCACCGGTATTATGATTTATTTTCCGGCCAACTTTCTGTCTACACAAGGCATGGAAAGAAGTTTTCGGATATATTTTTAGCTTCGACGTGGAACTTTCTTGAAACTATAATATTTGCCGTAATGTCCAAATAATAACTATGAGAAAACGAAGGCGAGTTACGAAGAAATATTTATTGCAAAGTCCTCAGGTGATAGTGGGCCATGTGGGCTAAATTCCCATTGGTAAGTTGCTGGTAATCATTTTTGTTAACATTGTACTAGCACTGTATAGATCACTTTTGTGTAAAACGCGAATGGCAAAAAAAGATTTATCGTTGGCGATCTCGTATCAAATCCAATTAGTCAACTGACTGAGCTAAAAATAGATTGAACTATTTGTATTTGTTTTCCCCACCCTTATTTGCTGCTGTCAAGTTAGGAGATCGATCATAGCAAATTATTATTTAAATGTTTAAAAATGGTTAATAGTGATACGTAATTCCGACATACTTTAGTTCAATCAATTATTGTTTTTGTAATACTGTTCTTGCACAAGGAATTTCACAAGAAAAACTGAATTAAATGATTAATTTCTTTTCATATCCGTTCAATATAATAGGTTTAATATTCGGCGCAAAGATGAGGAGATATTTATTTAATTATGACTTACACAAGGATCTGGTAAAAGTATACTTGGAAGAGTTGATTTGTATGAGAGTCAAGTAGAACATTGATTACATTTAAAACGTATTGCCACAATAATATTAAAAGAGTTATTATGTTTATTTTGAGAGTTTTCACTTATCATAATTTTTATTTGGATTTTTTTCCACTTCAATTCCGAAATCACATATCATGTTTTGAATTTACTCAAAAATTAGTATATTGGTAGAAATGAAACATTTACTTAAATATTTTAAAATGCAATTTTCAACTGAAACACGGATTATTCGATTCGATAGAAGTTATCTGTATTAATTTTTAAAAAAAATTAAAAAAATGGTTATCTGTATGTAATTTTCTTAAAATTTATAGCGCATAGTTAATATTAGTAATGAGAAACTGGGTAGTTGATAAAATATAATTAGCTAAGACCATATAAAGTTAACACTCTGAATACACATTTTAATGATGGTTTAATAATATTCATTTATTGTTTTTCCATACAATGTTTCATCACATTAACAGCTGTTAATATTGGTGACTCGAGTAATAAAGTCTTATTAAATGCAAAAATAAAAACTCCATCTATATCACAAACTGTAACGATTGTTGGCAGTTTTGTGTCTTAAACACTTTTATACCGCTTCTTATACTACAAACTTTTCAGTAGTGGCACTTATCCTAACTTCTGTCATGTATCCGAAAACAAAGTAGTAAACAACTCGTAAAGTGATTAACGAGCTTGCCATTCCATTAGCTCAGCATAATTCTATGCTACTTAACGACTTGATGCGATTTTATTTTTATCTTATAGAAACACTTACGTTCAACTTTCGCAATATTGTAATCTATCCGTTTGTATTACGTCGTACTAGTTAATTTTGTTTAATGCCTTAAGAAAACACGATTTTATTGAAAATCAGCCTCATTCAAAATCACCTCGTTATTATGAGCCAAAGCCATAGATTTATATTAAAATAAACTAGATTGCTAAGTGAACATGCCGCCGTTAAAGAGAATTTAAGTTACTATTTTCTGCCATCTTTGTGGGAGTTAGAACCTCATCGCATGAAAATATATTTACAACGATTATAACTTAAGTTGATAGATACGTCGACTCCCATTCTTATCACTAGTCAGCAATCTAATGAAATAAATATATATCTGTTGCCAAAGCATATGTTTAACCAGAGCATTTGTCTTATCAGCTAACTTTTATTATTCTTATCATAACTGTTATCAGCTGATTTATGCTTATCAATTCCATTATTATCACTAATCGAGTAACACAGAGGAGTCGTTCCATCGAATTATTGATTCGGCAATGGTTGCAATATTTCCAGTGCAGCCACTTTAGAAAAAAATCCGTTTTATACGGTAATCGGTAAATAATTGTGGTGACACTACTCGTGTTATCATTAATTGTTATTTTATAATCACCATGTAATTTAGTGTTATCTTAAATTGTACTTATCACAATCGTATCTCTTATCAACTAATTTTATCAACCGGTGTAACAAAATGATGTTAAACATTTTTGACTCGAAAATTGTATTATATATTTATTATAACGTTATATATTAGATCATTATGTTAATATGTATATACCCTTACATGTCAAAAACCGTAATTACAATAGTGTAAATGTCTTGAACGGATTTGTTACAGGCTCACAATCAGCTGGTAGCCATGTTGGAAAAAGACAATTTTGTCGTGGACGACACGCAAAACATTGCCGGTGACGTGTCTCTGCCCATACAGAAACTGCGCGAGAAAGACATCCGAATAATTTTGGGAAACTTCAACGAGACGTGGGCTAGGAAAATTTTTTGCGAGGCATACAGGTAAACAGATCATGATGATTAATCGCGTTTCAGTGGTGTTTCTACTCTGAATAATGCTGTAGTCTCTAGTGTGTATAACATGTGTTCCACAGGGTCGGCATGGTCGGAGGCAAGTACCAATGGTTGATAATGGGCACGTACGGACCGACGTGGTGGAATGAAATGAAGTCCCCGTGTCCTGTGCCGCATCTCGTCGCAGCACTAGACGGATGCATCCTCACAGACTACTTGCCGCTATCAACAACCGGCGAAATAACAGTTTCCGGCATCGTAAGTCTTATGTACATTATTATACTGCTTCAACTACATTTTTAAGTAAAAAAAAAATATGGTTATTTTCTCCACTCCACCGAAAAACATTTAATCGTGGATGTATTATCTCTTATCATTTATTTCTTATCACTGATCTCTTATCTCTTGTCACCTATCTCTTATCATTTATCTCTTGTTACTGGCTACATGAGAAACTTCTTGTACTATTATTAAAGGCTAAACTAGGAAAAAATTAAATGGAATTATTATCGGTCGTCGTTTACTGTATACAATTGGACTTGAAAACCTCCTTTGTATAGAAGATAGTTTGTGTATAGTGTCCATAATAGGATCAACGGCAGAGAATAGATTGGGACGGTTTGGAAAAGATTTGAAACATTGAGGGATTCGTGTTGCTTTGAAAGTAAGAAAATCATATTGTAAAAAAGATAAAAGAGATTGTTGAAGAGGAATACCTACAAGAAACGTGGTAAATGTCCGTGGCTTGTCGGTGACTTTTCATCGAGTGAACCGAGTAGTAGTTGACTTTGTCAATGTAATAACTTTTGTGAACTGGAAAAGTTCTTGCAAAGGAAATAATTATACTGTATATATACTGACTGAGACGCGATCGGTATAAAACTTTTTACCACATAACGGTTATGAAAACGTAATAGTAGCAATACGGTTGATTTTACAAGTTTATTAGTCAGGCCACTATTTGGTCGATTAGCTAATATTTATAAAAGCGCCTATACCTAGTAGTTAACATACAAAAACTAGTTGGATTAAAACACTAATGGACAATAACTATATGGTAGGCCAATATGGTAATAACAATATGGTTGTTATTTTTCAGAAATATAAGCTTAACCGAAATATGAAAGTATTTGTTTTAATTAATGTCTATAAAATTCAAGTTAAGATAAGTTGGTGTCATTAAGCTCTTGTTTTATATATATAATATATATAATTTAATAATAAAAACTTTCATAATGTCTACACTAATATAATGATAAACTGTCTTTTTCTTTCTAGTGTACAAGTAAGAGTTTGGAATTTTTAATTTAGTTGCCCTGTGCTTGTACGTTTTCATTCTGACAAAACTTTTTAAATTATTTAGCTTCTTAAAAAATGTTTAGTTAGTTTATCGTGCACATTTTTTCTCGTTGAATAACGTTATATTTGTTTTAATTTTTAACAAACCTATATCGATTTTGCCATTGCTGGTGGGGTAAACAATAAAAACAAATCTATAAGCTAAATATAACATAATATATAAATCATCTAAATATATTTTGATTCGCCAATTGTGATAATCCGAAAACATTCAATAATTCATGACCGCGTTTCACCCTAGTGAATCAGCACTGGTTGTGTTCATCTATCATTTGCCGGTTGTAGGTTTTGTATAGTTTATGAAAGCTTCGGAGCTTAAACGAATATATGCAATGTCATCACAAATGTTTCATATGGTAACGTTTTTTTTTTTATAAAATATGTAAATTATGCGACGCGAGGAAAAATGCATTAAAAAATTTTGACCAAAACCACATTTAATTTATTTTTTGCCTCGTATTAATACTTTTGTTTTAGTATAATTTTGCTTGCATAAATGTTTTCACAAGTCCATTAGGAAATAACCGAAATAGATATTCGATCATTTTACTAACAGCATATTTTGGGTTATACTTATAATAGCCGTCAACCTTTTTTTTTTTTCACTGTCAGTTATATAATTAGTTTTTAACTTTAAATTGTGAGCACTATGTATACTGGGTATCATTTCAAGTACATATTTTTTTTAAATAAATTAGTAAATTATAATGTGTTCTTTATTTGCTATAAATTCGACAATAATGAATTTGTCCTATTTTTTTCAATTGGATATTTTTTAGCTCAATAAACTACATACAATAACGGTTTACTATTCATATTACAGTAAAATAAACATTGTGATTAGAAAAAAAAATGTATTACTAATTAAATTATTGTTCTTATAGCAGTGATTGCGTTATTGTGAATTATTAAATTCGCTCTTAAGAATTATGAGTTATATTCTATTGGTCATTTTTTATTCTTATAAAATATGTCCAAGACTGAACTTTTCTGTTGTTATACAATTTAAAAACAGTATTCAGACAAAGCCGTGGTATATAAATGTAATGTACCATATTCATGGAATCTCATGATTGAAAATATATTCAGGATTTTGCATAAAGGTCTTTGGAAACTAATATACATATATACTTTGGACTCCTTTTACGCTGACATATTGTTTTTAACAATGTGCAATAACCTTGTTTATTTCAAATCATGAGTACAAGAACCACAGAATAGATAAAAGCAAAAAGAACGCTCGACGGCCATGTTGAAAGGGCATACAATGACCGTACCCTTACCTTTTCTTATCTATTTAGTACTATCAATTTAAAATATTGATGGTTTGTATTTTATAAAATATATATTTGTTTAAATTAGTTATAACTTAAATTTTTCAATTGCTAATACATATTAAAACCTCTTAAAGCAATGTTTCTAGTCGTTTAAATCAATTATTGTTTTGACTTTCGTATAAAAATTACATTCTACTTTTAGTTTTACGAAAATGGTCACACTGCGACGCTCTAAGACTATGGCCGTCGCGTTTTTATGTGATAAGTATCTTCCCCGTGTTAATTTTTATCAGTGTCCGGGGCCTGTAAGAACTGTCAAATACTAAAACATTCCATCTTGACGTTGAACATATTAATGATTAGTATTCCAAAACTAAATACAAGAAACAAACCCAATGGTGGTCTCGAAAACCTGCGTTTTTGAGACCATCACCTGCGTTTTTAAGTATTTTTCTACATTTTGTAGGAATAGGTGTGTTGCCAGCGAACAGAGCAAATTGAAAAATATATATTTTTAACCACACTAACCTATCAACGGCACACTAGGCGTTATTTTCGGCGTTAACTCGACAACAATATAATATACAATATTATTATATTTGCACACAAGTGTAAATAAAATTGCCAAGTCGAGCCGACTGCGGGTAACGAGCTTGGAGAAAACTTAGCGTCAGTGAACGCTAATGATCGTGGAAATAATTTACCCCTCCAGACGGAGGCGGTCTCCAATTTGCCAACAATGTAAAAAACGACTTTGACCGATGTGCCCGCGTCTTGAGCAGACCTTACCCTGTGTGTATACGTTAGTACCGCCCACAGACCGAGAGCTTGCAAAACCGTACCCATTGCGCTATGTTCATTATTGTGGTGTTAAAGAGGGGTATTTTTTTTGTAAGTGAAACTTCTTATGTCGCGTTGAGCCCTCCCAAAAAAAAAACGTTCCGGAAATAGTAGTAACCGGAAGTAAGAGTTACGGGGTCTTAAGAAAACATGAGATTGAAAAAATAGTGTTAGAAACTCTTTGCTCTCAGACGGGATTCGAACCAAAAGCTAATTGGTCCCTTGTCGGAAGACTGGGCGGCTATACTTCAGAATCAATTAAAAAAAGTACCTAATTGACGAAAAAAGAAACTGGCACATTTTTTTGTTGATGTAAGTTCAAAAAACAAAGACTTACATCACACAGTGCTATTTGTGCCAACGCAAAAGCTAAAAAGTTCTATATTTTCATACAAATTTTTCAGAGTATTTTTAGTAGAAAGTAGCTTGATTGTGAACAAAGATTTGATGAGTAATCTACGTTTTTCATCTGAACCATACATCCTCTATGCAACCGGATGTAGAAAATGCGAAAAAGATCTTAAAAGAATCAATCAACTGCCTGAAGATTTATGGGAAATCCTAAGACTGTACCTCGAAAATTGTCAATTTCATTCCGACTTGTATAAACTTGTGTAAACATCAATTTGTACATACTTACTTGTTTCCAGAGCTAAACAATAGCACGTAAGATAACTAGTTATAGCCAATGGTCTATGCAACCGAGGCTTTTGTTCGACAATAACTAACTAATCAATTATTTTGATGCAATTAACATTTTTGGGGATGGAAATTGTAAATATCCCATTAAAACGTATATAGTTTAAGTTAAAACTTCTCTATAACATTTAATAAGTAGTTGGCGGATATCAAATTTTACTTGTTCACTCTCAGAATACTGTAATAACCTTCTATGGTATCTCATAATTTAATGGCAAGAACGAAGAAGTCTTGGGTTAATTAATTAAATCCTCCTTTTATTTACAATATCTGTGACACTGGAAAAGCTGGATGATTACATAACAGTTGATTAAATTATGTAGAAGTTCGTCGTTTGCTATTAAATCAACTATAAATACCAATTCGACAAGTTTTTATAAGTAATAAAAACCATATCAGTTGATCAAGGCGAAAATATTTCAGACGATGAAGAATTCGTGGAACTCGCTTTGTCGGTAGCTTTTTCTCGAGAAAGAAAAACATTTATTGTATGACGAACAGTTCTTTCATCTTTCTAAGTATAGTGTACATTAAACACTTCATTCTAGATTACGTTGAAAAAACGTATAGGTACTATCATTGCCGGCAAATAGATACAGAAAATAAGTAATATAATAATTACAGCAAAGTATAGTGCCTAACAGTGAAGAAGATTAAGACTTATCTATAATTGTCATTTGATTTGATTTTAATTGCTAAAAATAATCACCATATATTCATTCGGTTCTTCTATTATGATTTATTGGCTATTATTTCAAGACAAACTCAGTTTGCTGCTTAATATTGATCTGTTTGTTTAGTAATTTTTATTTTTACCCATTTCGATTCCCTTATTTTAAATTTAATTCCATTTTGAGCTATACCAGCAACGTCGCTAACTTGTAAAAAGACAACACATTTTTTTAACGCTAAGGTAATGTTAATATTTAATAGAACACACCTAATTGGATAGTATTGGATCTGTATTATCCAGATGTTTTATTGGCATGTTTCTCAGCTAAATATTGTATTTTTCGATTCTTTACATTTTTTCTATTTTTTTTTTTGAGAAATGTTAAGTATAAATTTATATATAATTGAAAT